GCCTTCTGTATAAGAAAAAAACTAATTGTACATGTGTATGTTTTTTAGAAGTAGAACTTAGAAATTTACACTCTTTTTGAAGTTTTTTCCTGCACAAAGTGAGTGAATGATATCGAAGTGGGCCAAATCTTTGAATCCTTATCTCGAACAAGCAGCTTTTGTATATTTCCTGCTAGTAATTTTGTACTTTAGCCTATGGACCAGTTATCAAGATAATACCTGGACATAATTATAAAGATACTCTAGAAATCGTCGTAATTTTCGTTCTTGTCAATAAATCTGTCTCAAACTTGGTTGTATTGTGCGCATGTCAACCTTGACTCCTCAAATCGTCTTTCAATTTGTTGAGTCTGAAGAAGGAAAAACAAAGAAATTCGAAAATTATAAAGACACCCGGTTTTTCTAATCACTATCGCATTCGCTGACTCTCAAATTTTTTGTACAATTACATCATAAAATATGAAATATTAGGTTGGCACGAAAGTTCGTTCGCACCATTTTCAAAAATTCATATCTCTATAAATTCTTGCCGAATTCGTACGATCAAAACTTTGCTCGGGAGAGGAACTCATGCACTTTGCAAGTGTACCTGAATTGTTCGTTAATGTGTACAAATGAAGGAGATAGGGGCTCAAAACTAAAATCACTCAAAATTTGAATTTTTCGTGTAGGGTCATAAAAAATTGGAAACTTGCAGCAAAAATCGGAGCAGTCGGTATTGTAGGTTTTTTCACCAGCTCTTTCTAATAGTGCAAAGTTTGCGCTGATTGAACGTCTCTATGAAAAGTTATGTTTTCCCTGAATAATGCCAAAATAAATCAAATTTGCCCTTATCTATTGATTGCTCGAAAATCATAACTTTTCATAGAGACGTTCAATCAGCGCAAACTTTGCACTATTAGAAAGAGCTGGTGAAAGAACCTACAATACCGACTGCTCCGATTTTTGCTGCAAGTTTCCGATTTTTTATGACCCTACACGAAAAATTCAAATTTTGAGTGATTTTAGTTCTGAGCTCCTACCTCCTTCATTTGTACACATTAACGAACAATTCAGGTACATTTGCAAAGAGCATGAGTTCCTCTCCCAAGCAAAGTTTTGGTCGTACGAATTCGTTAAGAATTTATAGAGATACGAATTTTTGAAAATGGTGCGAACGAACTTTCGTGCCAACCTAATATTTACAACACCATTTAAAACACACAAATTTTTTTGGACAATTAGATACATCCCACATGAAAGATTTGCAATACCTAAGGCTTGTCATCCTATTCAAATAAATATGGTCACTTTGATTTTTGCTTTCAAAAGCATCAAAAGTCAATCTGTTTCAGCAACTAGCTGGTTTGAGAAGTTTTCAAGCTCTTGCTTATTTAAATCTGCTTAGTTTTCTCGGTAGATGAGGTGAGAAGCGCTTCCATAAACTCTGCCAATCGCTGATATTGATGAACAGACTCCAACCTCGCATCATAGAGTTGTTGCGCTTTTACTCCATAAAACTTTGTTTTCAATGTTCATAAAACGCTGGACTTGATGTATCACATAGCCTACATGGTGATGCAGCTTTGCAGAAATTTTCAGATTTTTTCTAGTGATGTGGTTGCGATTTAGATTGAAAAAACTTACGAAGCGAAAATACGAAAATTTTCCGCGACCAGAAAATTCGACACAATTATACTAGATCGCCCTATTTCTCTCTGTGTTTCATGTTACATCTCACTCGATGAATGAAATTAGCTAAGATTCTGAAGTTTTGAATATTTCCTGTTTTATGTCGTGATAGTTGGCTATGATTGTGCAGGGTGCTAAACTAGATTCAGTGGATGTTTCAACTGCGCCTGAAAAATGCTCAGCGCCGAAATTTTTTCCTAGTCATGCACACAAGTTCATTGTTGGATGGCTGTCGAAACAGCTACATTACAGTATTTTCTGTTGCTTGAAAATCGATTTTGTGGTACAAAAGTGCGTCGACCTTATGGTGAGGTAGGAGCATTTCCGTCAGCGACCACGCAGAGTTTATGAGAGCCTTTTCGCCTCATTCATCAGAAAGGTTCAGTAGATTTTATGACTATCTTTTGCATATAACAGGAGCTTGAAAACCCTTAAACCAGCTGTTTCTTGAAACATATTGAATTTTGATGCTTTTAAAAGTAAAAAATGCAGTGGTCATTTCTCTCTGAATGGAATGAAAAGCAGCAGGTCTTGCAAATATTTTACACTAGCTGGCTTACCCGGCTCCGCCGTATGTTCCAAATAGAAAATTCCATTTCTTAACCGATCCGGACCAAACTTGACACACTGATCACCCCCGTGGGGGGTGACATGTTTCAGAGACAGCCCCCTAGCTCAAATTTTGCAAAAAATCGATAAAATCGATATCGATCGATAACGGAAAGTAGCCTATGACACCCGCCGGGGCCCGAAGTGTATGTGTACCAAGTTTGGTCCCGATCGGTTCAGAAATGGAATTTTCTATTCGGAACATACGTACAGACAGACAGACAGACAGACATACAGACATACAGACATACAGACAGACAGACAAACAGACATTCAGCTTTATATATAAGATTTTAGGACGTATTGTACAAAAAAATTTGAGAGTCAAAGAGTGCGATAGTGCTCGAAAAACCAGATGAATTTATAATTTTGTCCAGCTTTGATTGAAGGTTTTTCGAATTTTTTCTATTTTTTTCCGTTCAAGCTCAACAAGATTGGAAGCCGTTTTGAGGAACTATGCTAAGTGGAAATGCGCACAATATAGTGAAGTCTGAGGCAGGTTCACTGACAAGAACGAGATTTAGACAATTTTTAGAGTGTTTTTGTAATTATGTCCAGCACTGTATAAGGTCATTCCAAAAGTAATTTCGATTTAAGGGCGCCACATTTGATTGAATAAAGATTTCTGGAACTTGGTAGCATTCGATGCGCATTTACTCCTTTTCCTAAGAGTTGTAGCGTCACTGGAGCAGAACCGATGAAATGATAAAACCGAAAAAAATGACAAAATGAAAAAATGAAATGATAAAACTCCAAATGGTAAAACTCAACCACTACCTGGCATTAATAGTGAAGTCAGCAATCTTTTCTCATGTTAATCTAGCTAGTTGTGAAAGAAAATATACTTGACCAAATGTATAGAATAAAGAGGTTGACTAGACGAAATTCTGTCTATTACCCTAATGATGAAAGCTGTACGCAATACACTCTCCACCTATTTTCTGATATCCGCTGAACGCGGCAACAAGTTTTGAAGAGCGATGGAATGACTAAGTTACGAATTCTCTTATCTTATGAGATTTTTTGTTTTTTGCTGCTTCAATGATCCACTAGTATATGGAAAAAATATCAGGAAACTAATAAATCTACCGTATGAAACGCATTATAGAAATTATTTGAGGGCAATAAAAATGCGTTTCTACTAGTGGTTCCGACAATGTCACATAGATTTCGAAAATTTCTTGACAACATAAATCCAATAATATGAGGTCAGCATCCAACCATTATCATAACTCTATATAAAGCGCAGGGGGGCCCATCTGACGTCAAGCTACCGCGACGATGTCAACAATTCCGTCTGTCTCGAATGCACCCAATGCACCCAAAATGATGATGCATCTCAAGATGTTCGATCTCTGCCAACTATGTTGATTAGAATGCCCTTACTGTGCCCTAACCCTTAACTCCATAAACGATGCTTAAAGAATAACATCGATTAGCTCCATGTTCCACATTTCGTTGTCTATCAACATACACAGACAGGAGGCTGCATCAACTCAAAAAAGCGCAATCAGGTCAGTAGCATTTCAACCCTACCTTTCCAGCTTTTATTCTGAATTTGCTACACTTACTCTTATATCATGAAAAGAGCTGCACAGCACTGTTCATAGCACATCAAATTACGCTATCTGAGCGCTAATCTCATAGTTCTAAATTTCAAACGACTTCTAAGTAAAATGTTATCATATGTTCTAAAAACGTTACCAATGCTAATTACATCATGTCAACGTAAATTTCCGTTTTTCCTTTCTGAAAATTTTGCAGTTACTACCCATATTCTCAACATCTTCCGCTCCCTTCCTTCATGATGCTGTTGTAGATCAGAACATCCCAAAAATTTCTGTTGCACATCCTGCTCACGAAAGGTTGCGGCGAATGGTTTTTTAACTAAGTTCAATCAAATTTTTTAATCCGCTCTAGCAAAGCATCCTTCTCATATGGAAATGGTGAAAGAACCAAAAACCCTTTTGAAAATGTTGTGGATCTTTAGTGGTTTTCCCTGTGTGTATAATTTTTCTGAAATCATTCTTTGAATAATTTGCGTTTTTTCGCTAAAATACCAGTGCATGATTTTTTCGCCGCGGTACGATTTTGAAAGACTTTTCTGTCAAAACAACTTCCTGCTCTGTGTTTGCATTCCATGCGAAAGTAGGGAACTTTGATTCTGTTTCGCGAATCGTTCGCGTTTGCTTTTTTGAAATAAACAGTAGAGCAATTATGATGCTGCGCAAGAACTCAAGAATATCTTTTCGATATCCTTTGGAGAGCTGTGAGCGAGCTGTACAAACTTTGTCTGTCCGCTTTTCGTTTGCGAATGCTATAGCATCTTCTAACAGCTCATACGAATGGTCTGTATTTGCTACGCCGCAAACACAGTATGTGGAATTTTAAACTGCATTATGCGCTCCAAACTCTGCGAACTTTCTGCTTTGCACTTGCAATGTTTTCGAGCATTAGTTTGAATTTGATCGTAACTGAATTTTAACTTACTAATTGGTTTCTCAATAGTTTGCAAAAGCTTCACCACCATACCAATACATGAAATTTGAATTTTACGTTATGTGCCTGTTTGGCCTAATCCGTTCGCATGTCGTTTAAATAAAACTCGGTCGGATATTCTGATGAGAATACATCGTATCTACCAACTAACGAAGGAAACCTTTCAGCCAGCCCAGCTAGCTGCTATACGAAGGCATCCAACGAAAAGCAATTAAAAAGACATGGAAGGCAGTAGTTCACAGCAGCAGGTATGAAAAAATTGAGGCTGTAGCGCTTAGCCAACGTGCAATAACAGTTGCCCCATAAAAGATCCTCTTAGGAAAGCTCTGCCTCTCTACTGGGTTCGTTGGACTCTATCAGCATTGGTGAAGGAAGCTTCGATGCAGTATGTTTTATAGAGATCATGCTTTTCTAGGTAAAACTTACGTAAGGATTTTTGCACAGGATTACTCAAATGACAGTGTGAGAACTACATCGCCGGATTATAATTCAACGACGATGCTTGATGCAGATAGAATGGATCAGGTACTATTGCTGCATTACTCCAGTATTTCACATACGTTCAACTAATGCATTACAGCACACCAACGAGCAAACGGTATCAGTTGCGAATTCGAAGCGTCAGGGGGAACGGCCGTATAGCTTCTTATCAAAAGCTGAGCGAAAAGCATACAAAAGATCCACAGAAACCCAAACTGAGCGTGATAAACGCCTTTCAACCGATGCAAAGAAGAAAAGAATGAGAAAATCAGTTGAAACTGAAGACGAAAGGGGTATGCGCCTTGCTAGAGACAGGGCAAGGAAGAGGAGACTGCCGCTTGCTTTTGAGAACCCCAACGAAACTACAGTCAGTCTTCAGTCAGCAGATATGGTAATAAAGTAATAGCGCATTGTGCTTTCGAACTATATAAAAATTTTAGATGAGTTTTCTGCATCAGTCAGAGGATAGCGGCATACTCGGTCAAGAAGTTATTGCACGAAATCTAAGTCCTCAAAGAGGATCAATGGAAGTGGAAGTAAGTCTCCATAGCTCAACCCTGTATGCCTTTTATGCGAATGTACATGTATCAAGCATGTGTGTGTCTTTTGACAGAGCAAAACTTTGTCGTTAAGGTCGAAGCCGCTTTGGGATCGTCAACGCCTGCATTTGTTTTTACTCCCTTACAAGAAACGAACAACGAGGTACAGTCATCAATAAAAGATCTTGCCCTCAAAATTTATGACAATACAGTTGATGTCTAGATTTTACGTGGGATGGAAACAATTCTGGCTGACGTAAGTTGGAACAACGTCGATCCTCAACCAAACCATATTTTCGAGGAACATGGAGAAGATGGACTGCAAAGCTTACATGCGCATGCAGGTCCTTCGATAACGCAGGACAACACGGTGAGCTTCACTTTGCTTATATTTGAATCAATTTTGGTCATTTAAGGAGCAAGGTGAAAGTTCGCAGTTTCTCTCACTCAGCCCAACTAGAATTCCTTCTGTTGTTCAGGTACGAGAGGTGGTAGTGTTCCCTTTGCTTAAATGACATGGAAATATTTAGATACCCACATCTCAAGGCACCGAACAGCGACGTCAAAGGTCGCAGCCCAATCTCGGTATAGCCTTGACTAGGAGTGATGTGGATGAGAATTACTTAGGTTCTCTGAGTGTCAACTGCAATTGTTGCTCAGCTCTCTATTTTCCCGGCGAAGCCAAACCGAGCAACGGAAGCTTCAACATTTGCTGTAACTTTGGCAACATTTCTTTGAACCTGTTTTCGGACTTTCCAGAGTTTTTGCGATCTTTCTACACAGGAACGGACAGACTTTCTAAAAACTTCTGCCAAAATATACGATCGTATAACAGCGCCCTTGCTATGGCATCAATGGGTGCACAAGTAGACACCCCACGTGGTTCAGGACCGTATTGCTATAGAATTCACGGTCAAATATATCACTATGTTGGTCCACTAACACCAGAGCAAGGGGTTCGTCCACAATTTGGACAGGTATATATATTGGATACAGACACTGCAGCTGCAGAAAGATGCGGTAATCCCGCAAACACAAATTGTGATGCTACTGTGATGCAGCAGCTAACTGCATGGTTACATTCTCATAATAGCTATGCAGCTTCCCTAAAAATGATGGGAGATGTAGCAGCAGAAGAGGAGCAACGAGCACGTGCTGAAGGAAAGCAGGTACCAACAATTCGCATGATATTCGAAGACTCGAGCAACCTGGATCGCCGACGCTACAATATTCCCGCATGTAACGAGATCGCCGTCGTCTATGTCGGCGAGGATAATGACGTCCCAGCAACGCGTGCTCTTGCTATACACCATAGGAGAGGTGGCCTGCAAATTATCCGAGACATCGATGGTTGCTGTGATCCCTTGACATACCCCTTACTGTTTCCCAGAGGAGGTTTCGGATGGCATGTCAATCTGAGGAAGATCCCTAGCAGCCGTATTCGCACTAGAATAACCCAGCGCGAATTTTATTCGAATCTCCTCGCCATACGCCCTTCCTTCAACCCAATCCACCATGCCGGTAAGCTCATGCAGCAATTCGCAGTCGATGCATATGTCAAGATTGAGCAGAATCGGTTGTACTATACGCGTACGCACCAGAAAGAGCTTCGTGTGGACAGCTATAGGGGTTTAATGGATCACTTAGCTAATGACAATGTCGATGGACCTCCGGGTCAACGAGTCATCTTACCGTCCTCTTTTCCCGGCAGTCCTCGTGCCATGCATCAGTCCTACCAGGACGCGATGTCTATAGTTGCGAAGTACGGAAAACCCGACTTCTTTCTGACTTTTACATGTAACCCGCAATGGAGAGAGATACGAGAAAATCTTCATCCTGGCCAATCTCCCGCTGATCGACCCGACTTAGTCGCTCGTGTATTCAATCGAAAATTGGGAGTTCTACAAGACCATCTTTACCAGAAAAAGGTTTTGGGGAGTGTTGCAGCCCATGTCGGTATTATAGAATGGCAAAAACGAGGTCTTCCTCATTGCCACATGCTTCTTATAATGTCTGCAAATGCAAAACCAAGAAGTTCCGCAGACGTCGACGCGGCAGTCCAAGCCTATATCCCAAGTGCCTCTGAGAATCCCCGCCTCCTCAGCATTGTCGCGAGGAATATGATCCATCGTCAGTGCGGGACAGCCAATCCGACCGCACCGTGCATGGCAAATGGGCAATGTACCAAGCGTTATCCCAAGGATTTCAGGGAGGAGACTGACGTTGATGTCGACGGGTATCCCAAATATAGAAGACCTGACGACGGGCGCACCATATCATCCGGAGGCAAGGTATACGACAACAGACACGTGGTGCCTTACAATAGTTATTTGCTACAGCTACTCAACGCCCATATAAATCTAGAAATATGTGGCTATGTACAAGCGGTCAAATACTTATACAAGTATGTGTATAAGGGACCAGATCGAGCCTCTCTGCGACTTCTGCAGCAAGATCGCGCGCAACAAAATGACGAGATTCGGGCTCATCTTGACGCCCGGTATGTATGTTCGCCTGAGGCAATACATCATATTTTTTCGTACGATTGTCAGTTCAAATCTGACACCGTCTATCGTTTGGCTGTCCATCTTCCCGACTTTCAGACGGTTACTTTCCGTTCTGGCGAAGAACGTGAAACAGCAGAACGGGAGGCAGCTAGAGATTCTATGCTAACGGCGTGGTTCAAATTGAACATCGAGTACGAGCATTTAGGAAGCGACAATGCTGACATAACTGACACGGTGGATCCACGTACCCTCTATTACTATCAGCTGCCGGAACATTTCACCTTTTCAAAGGAGCGTATATGGAAGAAAAGAGGAAGGGGTAATCGACAGATTGGTCGTATGCACACAGTCCCCCCTAACGATTCAGAGAGATTTAGCCTGCGCATTCTTCTCCTTCATCGAAAAAACATGCGCTCTTTTGAAGATCTCCGAACAGTAGAAGGGATTGAGTATCCAACATTTCTAGAAGCTGTCCGTTCTTTGGGTTTATTACATGACGATTCCCATTACGAGAGCTGCCTGGAAGAAGCTGCGCAATTCCAGATGCCTGCTGAGTTAAGGGCGTTGTTCAGTTATTTAATAGCATTTTGTGAGGTCTCTGATCCTAAGAACCTCTACGATCGCTTTAAAAATGATATGGCCGAGGATTTCATTTATAGAGGATTCACGCCATCTGATGCAGAAGCGCTCGCCTATTTTGATCTGTATGACAGACTGCAAATTCTTCGTCATGATCTTTCTAAAAAGATCACTCCACCTGCGCAAGATCGGCCGGTTCTGGAGGATCAGATTGACTATGCTCATCATGAGCAAATAGGTGGAGAAATGTACCAGAGCCTAAATCAGCAACAGAGATCAGCAGCAGATCACATCATGGCTTCTTTAACCTCTGATCAATGCAAGCTACATTTTATAGACGGTCCAGGAGGCAGTGGAAAAACATACCTTTACAACGCTCTGTACCACATGCTGAAGGGTATGCAGAAAAAAGCTGTTTGCGTAGCTTGGACAGGTATAGCTGCCAATCTGCTGCCTGAAGGTAGGACGGTCAGCTCTACATTCAAGCTGAATATGAAGAGCGGAAATCGCGAATGCACATTACGTCGCGAAGACAAGGATGCTATTCCGTTGAAAGAAGCAGATGCAATAATTTGGGACGAGATTAGTATGGTTTCAAAGTTTTCGCTTGAAGCAATCAATCTCTTCTTACAAGACCTGATGTGCAGCACAGCGCTATTCGGAGGGAAAACCGTCGTACTGGGTGGCGACTTTCGACAAGTTTTGCCAATTGTAGAAAGAGGAGGAGAGTGCGATATGATTGACGCATGCGTTAAGAATAGCAAACTCTGGGGATCGTTTCGCATGCACGGTCTTTCATTCAACATGAGAGCTGCAGAGTCCGGCTCTTCTTGGTGCGATTTTCTGATGAGCGTCGGAAATGGAGATGCAGAAGAAGATGAGATGGGTAGAATTAACCTACCACCTGAAATAGTCTCTAGTGGAGATCTTATCGATGAAATTTTCGGAGACCAACTCACTGATTTTGATACTTTGAGTGAGCGCGCAATACTAACGCCCCGTAATCTCGATGCTTATCGAATCAATGAAGAAGTTTTGGATAAGATTCCGGGACGGCTTTACGAGTACAAGAGCGCCGATGATGTGGTTAGCGATGATGCACAAACAAACGAATACACCCCCGAATTTCTGAATAGCTTGACACCGGCTTTACTGCCTCCTCACAACTTGAGGATAAAAGAAGGCTCGATAGTCATGCTGTTGAGAAACCTCAATGTTCGGAATGGGCTCTGTAACGGAACAAGACTGATCGTTACACATTGTGGACGCCTCGTTTTAGGATGTCGTTTTGCATGCGGAGATCGTAAAGGAAAACCTGCACTGATTCCTCGCATCGACAACTACACTGATGCACGAGTTCCCTTCCGACTACGAAGAAGGCAGTTCCCCGTCCGTTTGTCATTCGCTATGACGATAAATAAGGCTCAGGGACAGAGTCTGACAGGAGTGGGCATCTCCCTTGCTACGGAGGTATTCTCACATGGTCAGCTTTACGTCGCCTTATCAAGAGCTCGGAGAAAGGAGGGTGTCAAAGTGCACAAAAAAGAGGAAAGAGTGAAGAACGTAGTAATAAAAGCCGTTCTCCACTAACAGCTCAAAACTCTAGCGAACAAACAGGAATTTTTGCAATCCTATTATGGCCTACCACAAAGAAGTCGCTTTGCAATAACTAGCTCGCCATATCTCACTAATAGTTGAACAGAGATCATACAAACAGCTCGAATGCAGATACATTCTAACATTATGTTCTTTCTACTTAAATATCACTGCACGAGTAAACATTGAATATAAATTATGCGCGGTTTCGTGATGACACTGTTATCTCCTATGCATATCCCAGAAAGTTAACTATGATCTACTATTTAAAAAAGCTGGAATCTGCTACTCTACTCACTATTTTCTGAATTGATCATGTCAATGCTCGCAACCTTTGAATGGCTTCATTATCAAAAAATACCTTCGCAAGCTTGAATATCTCGGATTATGCTCCCCATTTCACGCAGATTCATGATAGTAAACGTATTAGAATAGCCCTTCCTTTGTTCTTCACTTCTTATGATAAGATACCTCTCTCGAATTTGGGTAATGTTAGCTATATATTCTTACCGCTCAATGATCTCCATGTATTTAAGCTCACTTATATTGAATCTACAAGCTGCCTTGAAGAATTATATAAAAATATTACTTTCAAAGCTGAAATCGCAGTAAGACCTACGTATACAGCTAAAACCACTCTCACTCCACCTACATCGTGAAGCGTTTCAAGGATCAAAGCCATTTCTTCCGAATCAGAAAAACGCAAGCACCAACATATCAAAACTTCTGATTTCAAGCAGATCTCACTTCACACACACAGCCAGTTCAAAGCGCCGCGAAGCGGCGCTTTGAACTGGTTTTAAATAAGCCAACACGAAATTATTTTGATTAAT